CCCACCCTCCCTCCCTGCCCTCCCTCCCTCCCTCCCTCCCTCCAACCCTCCTTCCCTCCCACCTCCCTCCCTCCCTCCCTCTCTCCTCTCCTCCCTCCTCCCTCCTCCCTCCCTCCCTCCCTCCCTCCCTCCCTCCCTCCCCTCCCACCCTCCTCCTCCTCCCTCCCCCTCCCACCCTCCCTCTCCTCCCTCCCTCCCTCCTCCTCCCTCCCTCCCCCTCCCTCCCTCCCCTCCCTACCCTCTCCCACCCTCCCCCTCCCTCCCTCCCTCTCCTCTCCTCCCACCCTCCTCCCTCTCTCCCTCTCTCCCTCCCACCCTCCCTCCCTCCTCCCTCCCTCCCTCCCTCCCTCCCTCCCTCCCCTCCTCCCTCCCTCCCTCCCTCCCTCCCTCCCTCCCTCCCTCCCTCCTCCCTCCCTCCCTCCTCCCTCCCTCCCTCCCTCCCTCCCTTCCCTCCCACCCTCCACGGCGTTGTGAAAAGGGGAAAAAAATCGATGCATCTAAAACAGACCGAAGATAATCCCCATAGCAGTAGATTCTTACCTTTTTCTACCAGTGAATCTACCTCAGTTACGTTCATAAGTAAAGCTACTGCTATGGGATGTATTCGTAGAAAAGGTAGGAATCCCATAGCAGTAGCTTTACTTATGAACGTAATTGAGGTAGATGGACTGGTAGAAAAGGTAGGAATCCCATAGCAGTAGCTTTACTTATGAACGTAATAGAGGTAGATGCACTGGTAGAAAAGGTAGGAATCCCATAGTAATAGCTTTACTTATGAACGTAATTGAGGGTAGAGATGCACTGGTAGAAAAGGTAGGAATCCCATAGTAATAGCTTTACTTATGAACGTAATTGAGGTAGATGTAGTAGAAAAGGTAGGAATCTCATAGCAATAGCTTTACTTATGAACGTAATAGAGGTAGATGCACTCGTAGAAAAGGTAGGAATCCCATAACAATAGCTTTACTTATGAACGTAATTGAGATAAATGAAGTAGAAAAGGTAGGAAGAATCACATAGCAGTAGCTTTACTTATGAACGTAATAGAGATAAATGAAGTAGAAAAGGTAGGAAGAATCACATAGCAGTAGCTTTACTTATGAACGTAATAGAGGTAGATGGTAGAAAGGTAGGAATCCCATAGCAGTAGCTTTACTTATGAACGTAATAGAGGTAGATGCACTCGTAGAAAAGGTAGGAATGAGAACGGATGTT